AAAAATCATGTATTCTTTATTAAGTGATTATAAACATAGGGAGAGAAACAAGAAGGTAATGTGGGAGAGGTTTGGGAGGAGGATAAGAGGGAAGTCTAAGGCCACTGATCAAATTCAATATATTGACAGCCTTTTGGTTGGGCTCTCCCCTGGGGTGGAGTGACAGGGTGCACGCAGCATCCCCCCCCGCGTTCTTACACGTCTGGGTGAGGAGGATATGGAACATGGTGAGGGGGGAGGTAGGTTATACAGCGGCTGCAGCGGCAGTCTGTTATCCTGCTGCCGTTCCTGAAGCTCCACCAGACGCCGGAGCATGTCCGTTTGCTCACGCAGCAGCCCCAGCGTTGCAGCCTGCCACCTCTCATCTCGAGCATCCCTCAAGACCTCACGGTCACTGGCATCTTTCCTAAATTTAGATACAGTGTCCTTCCACTCATCCAAATGAGCTCTTTGATTGTGGGTGGATTTCATTATTTCTTTGAACATGTCATCTCGCGTCATCTTTCTACGACGCCTTATCTGAGATGGCCTTCTGGACGCAGGAGGGAGGCTTGAAACATTTGCAGCTGCTAGAGGGAGGGTTGAAAAAAAGTAGAGAAGTTTTTAAAATGATACATTTTACAGAACAATGCTTGTACTCTTTCATGGTGAACACTATTCACATTACATAGCACATGTGATTTCAGTACAAGGTCGCATTTTCCATCTTAATATTGAGTGCCTGTGGCTTTGGTGTTAGAGATCACAGACGCAGGTCCGGGCAACAGAATTCAGCTTGCAGGCAGCCATGGTAAGCCATTGTCTTTCGGCTTCTGCGCCCTCCTTTCCAACATACCAATCAAAGCTTGTTGACTGCTGAGGTTTTCCTGTTAACCTTCAGCAGCAGAAACCAAACTAACCCCCTCCGCCCCCCTCCCGCCGTGAATTCCCTGGAATGCTCAATGTACCCCTCCCCGACCGCATGGCTGGTAACAGGGAAAATCCCTGCTAGTCAAACGTGAAATGCTGTGGGCCAATTTCCCCCCCCCCCGCCCCTGCGAAAAGCTAACTGCAGGGAAGGATTTCTTATCAGCCACAGGCAAACAGCCCAGTAGGAACGGCCACCTCTGTCCCCTTAATTAAGTTCCCGTATTTCAAGCAGGTTACCATGAGCGATATCACTCTCCTGAGGATTACACAGCGAGATAAAGAACGGATGTTGCTTGAATGCCAGCAAACACCGGGACCATACGCTGCCAGGCTTTGTCAGGCAATGATACCAGATTACTTGCTGCAAGCATGGTGTGGACAAGTGTCCTACCATGGAGGACGGAATAAAGCGGCACTGCCCAGAAACCTTGTGGCAAGGCTTTTGGAGTACCTACAGGAGAGCTTCATGGAGATGTCCCTGGAGGATTTCCGCTCCATCCCCAGACACGTTAACAGACTTTTCCAGTAGCTGTAC